CACATGACAGCCATTTTTTTCTACACCTGAACACCTCATCGGTTATTCCACGAGATAAATCAGTAATGCACAATAAATCCAAAATCACTCAGATGAAAACGATACAAGCCTGGCGCAGTGCACTCAACGAGTGGGGGTGGGGAGACAGTTTTCAGTAACAGCCTAATAAACTCCTTCGATGGCCAAATTATCCTTTTTTGTAATGACTCCTCGAAACCGAGCAAATCCTAAGCGGAATATTAGCGTAGTTGTTCAAAATCTAAGAAGTGCCTCTCACCAAAATGTCATCCATCAACGATTTAAGAAGGTAAATAAAACAAAAATGGAATTAATAAAAATGGAATTAATAATTAAACGAGTGTCCCGGCTGGTGTAGCGCAGTTTAAGTTCTCTAGGTGGGGCCTTACTATGGCCTTGTACTGAGGTATAAATACCTCAGATTTGCGGCACGACAATGCTGAATTTAGTCTGAATAAATCACCCCTAGCTTTTCGTGCCTGTCTGGCACATTGATTCGACCACCTAAAAGCTGCGATTACCAATATTCCTAGGTCTTTTACAGTTTCCGCCGCCTCGATAGTGAAGGGACGTGCCTCGTGGCCAACTGTGATACCTTCTACGGCCCGCGATAGTGAATGGCTTTTGCCAGTATTCAGTGGCAAATCCCACTTGAGGGCCCAGTTTAGGACTGAAGCAATATCCCTGACCAGATCCTCTCGCCCCTCTGGTCCTACGACTTTTACATCGTCCGCAAAGAAAAAGCTAGGTGACTGGAGCGTTACGGCTAGGTCATTTATAAACAGTAAGAATAAGATGGGTCCAATNCGTAGAAAGATCTCCCACTTAAGAAGTCAGATATCCAGCTATATATCTGCCCCTCTGTACCGACGGCTTTCATCTTGATCAACAGTAGGCGATGATTCACAGAATCAAATGCTTTACTGAAGTCTAGGTAGCATACTTCTACGCTTTCGCCTTCATCCAACGTACGAGTTACTTCATCTAGAAAGCACAAGAGATTGGTGAGACAATCTGTTTTTCAGGAATCCAGCTCAGCAGGCACAGCATAGAATTGTCAGGACAGGACAGTTCACAGGACTTGCGGCTTGAGCCAGTAAGGTAGTCCAGGNACGCTACGACAGTGGGTTGATTGGTCCTTGGTGGTGTAATGGTACTGCCGCGAAACAGGGACGCCAATGCGGTTCGCTGTCGATGAAAACAGCACCAACCGTTCGGTCACAGGCTAACCAGGAGGTCCGAGTACCCCTCCAGAAACAGTATAGAACCCTCAGACATGCAAAAATAGGTTAAGGTGAGAAAAGAAGAGCGTACTAGTACGGGGAGGAGGGTGCGGAGAGCTGGATTAAGACAGGTGAGGAGAAAGTAGTGGAAGTGTAAGGGATGGTATAGTTAGTAAAAAAGAATATGAGAGGGGACCTGTTCTAGGGAAAGTTAGAGATATAATTACCACCAAGGACTGTCGATTTTTTTCCTTAGACTGATTCGGGGAAGGCTTCGTCCCACACCCCACCAAGCCTTTTTGTGAAGAGTTCCAACGTGGATACAGAGACAACCTCATCGGAAGTCTGTTCCAGGCGTTGGCTACTCTATGAGAGGAGTAGTTCGCTCTTCCTCTCTTTAACGCCCGAGGTTTTGTCAGCTTCAGCTGGTATCCTCTTAAGGCTGGGTTTTCACTGGGGGAGAACAGTTGCCTGCTAGGCTGTGAGAGTCCTTTCAGTATCTTGAAAACCTCTATTAGTTTACCTCTCATTCGTCTGTGAGAAAGGGAGAACAAGTTTAGCTCTGTCGGGCGCCTCGTGTACGGCATCGTTCTCAAGGCAGAAAAAAGCCTAGTGAAGCGTCTCTGTACTTGTTCTGGAGCCTTTTGGTCACGTACAAGTTTCGGCGTCCATGCCTGCACGCAATACTCGAGGTTGTCCACTAAGTGCTTACAGATATGAGCCCTGTTGATCCTTTCCAGCACCTTGCTAAGAATGCTAATCAGGCTTAACGGCCTGTAGTTGCCTACTTCTGACCCGGGCCCTTCCTTGATGTATGGCTACGGCTGTTTTCCACTCCAGTGGTAGCTTACCTTGTTCTGGGCTTAGCTTAAATAGTTGAAATAGTGGTCGCGCTAAAATACCCGCTAATGGTTTCACAATGGCTGGGTGGATACCGTCGACTTGTTTATATTTAAGCCATCCCTTAGTGTTCCTTTGGATTGCACATACCCGTAAAATTTTTTAGGATGATCCTTGGCGCATTTGGTCAGCCTAAGCTAATAGTGGCGTTTCGCTATTCGCACCACGCCGACCGCTGCGTTCCTGAGGGCAGTGTAGCGCGTCCGAACTAGGCTCCCAGAAATTTTGTACAAGCGCCAACTTCGGCTTTTACGTTTGATGGCCTTGTCTATCGCCGCTCGTCACCAGGTCGGTTTGGTTAGGTGTCGCCTGGGTTTCAACGAATTCTTCTTGGAGTATATGCAGCGATTGCTTAGTTACCCCCGTAACGCTTCTGTGCTGGTTACTTCGACGTCCCAGGCTTGTTGGGTCGCTCTGCTACGGAGAAGATCTACGTTCATGGTTCCTAAGTTTCCAGCCATTTTAGTGGTTCAGGTCAGTTCGGTTCAGTTTAGGTCAGGTCCGGAGGTATACACAGGACTTCCGGCTGATGCCAATGCGTCCAGTTCCTTGCAACTGTGAGCTCTGATGCAATCCCACTGTGCTTCGACTACAGGAGAAGTTCTTCATCCTTCATTTTGCGTTTCTGGATGACGGGCAGATGTGCAAATGAGATGTTGGAATGTTCAGTCGGTAATATCAGTAGGCTCCAGTCAACAAAGGGTCATCGCCTGAACCGGTTTCTATGCGAGAAATTCAAACCAGGCACGCCCTACCTGCGGGTAAGTATATGGTGTAAAACAAGACTAGGAGAACGTAAGAGTTTTATTTCATAAAGGAAAGGAAAGTTATTTGTTACGGACTAGAAGGATGATTGGGAAAAGGAAAACTAAACAAGATATAAGACTAACTTTCATCTATGGACTCTCCGGATGGTCCATAGTTCACCTTGCACTGATCACTTCAAACCAGGGAATACAGTCAGCCAATAGTCATTCAGTTTATGCTTGAAGCTTATACATACATACACATACATTGCTGTGATCACTGCATCTGGGAGCTTGTTCCAGCTGTTCACCACACGGTTTGTTAGAAACTGTGCTCGAACCCCCAGTCTGGAACACTCTTGCCAATTTCAAAGTGTCCACGTAATGCCACGTTGTCATTGGCAAAAAACAGTGGAGCACCCGTATTAGTAATGTCTTTTATGCTCTTAAAGGCTTCAATCAAATCACCACTAAGGAGACTAGGTTCAGCATAGACAAACGTGTTGGGTAGTCTTGCCCCCTAAGATGAGGGAAGCATCTCGTGAACCTACGTTGCACCGCCTGTATGACCTTCTTGTCTCGCCCCAGGCATGGCGACCACGCTTAGATGCAGTATTCCAAGTGTGGTCTTACATACACTTTATATAGGGGTACGAACACCTCTGGATCCCGCGAGACAACTGTTCTCATCAGTTGGTACAGAGCTTTGTTTATCTTACGTGCCTCCTGTAGGCACTGCTTCTCTGACCTGAGATTACTGGTGACCTGAATTCCCAGGTCACACTCCTTTGGAGTTCCACTGGGTTCTCAGTGTTAATCCACCGCACCGAGCCTGTGCCTTCAGTCTGTATGAGCTGTCTACACTTGACCACGTTGATCGGTAGCTCCCAGTCTTCAGTCCAGCATAAGAGGGTANCTCTCTGTATGGACTGGTTTGAAAGGGAACCTACCAGTTTCAAGTCGTCAGCGAACATGTAAACTGGGTTCTCTAACCTCTCCGGCAAGTCGTTTACATAGGCTAGGAAAAGAAGAGGGCCTAAAACTGACCCTGTGGAACTCCGCTTGTTATCCTACCTTCCCTCGATTTGGACCCTTCTATATTCACATGGAAAGATTTTCCTCTCAGGAAGTCTTCAATCCATGCAATCAGTTTCGGGTGAATTTTGAAGGTCCGAAATTTCAGGAGCAGTAGCCTGTTGTTTACCGAATCAAAGGCCTTTTGGAAGTCCAAGTAGCAGACCTCCAACCTCTCCCCTCTATCCAGCCTGTTGATGTCACCAGTAGATTTGTGAGACAGGGTATCCTCCTCGCAAACCGATGCTGGTTAGCAGATGGTGGCGCGCAACATGAGCCACCACTTTGTCCCTCAGTAGCCTTTCTAGTATCTTTATTGGTACTGAGGTTTAGCTAACCGGCCGATAGTTTGCCGCCTGGTTTCTGTCCCTCACTTTGTGTATTGGGACAACCTTCACCACCTTCCAGTCTCTCGGCAGCCGCCCTTCCTGGAAGGATTTGTTAAACAACGTTGCTAGCGGTGCTGCAAGCACCCAAGCCAGTGGTTTCAGGAAGGTCGGATGGATATCATCGGGTCCCGCTGCCTTGGTGCTCTTCAGCGCTTGCAGTTGGGCCCATACTTCGTCTTCAGTGACGACGACTTCGGCCATCGTGGGTATTTCTCGCTCTAAGAGGGTTTGGGGGTTTCCTCCTCTATCCAATTGGTGAACCCTTTCGAAATATCGGTGGAAAATGTCCGCCTTTTCAGCATTCGATTCGGCGCTAACTCCGTCCTCCTTTTGGACGTTTCCGACCGCCCCTCGAATTGTGGCCTTGGACTGGACGTAATTAAATTAGGCTCTAGGGTTGAGTTTCGCGTTTCTCGCCAGCTTTTTTAATAAGCAACCCTACATACCCGCTGGACCGCCATTGCGCGCTCGCGCATTCGGTCTTATACGAGGAATCGGCGGTGGCTGCCTGAGGCTATCAGTCTGACTCACGCTCGTTGTTTACGAACCTAGGCCTTTTGCACTCGCGCNTATTCGTAAGCTGTAATAAATTGGACTTCACTAGATTTCAACTCTCCTCTTGCGGCTCACTGGGGTCCATTTCCCATGCCATGGCATTTGCACCACTGCACTGGGTTCATTCCACCATAGTTTCTCCTCTCCTTATCGGGCGCGGTCGAACATCGGAGAGACATGGCAATGTGAAGGAGAGCATGGTCGCTTTTACCCAATGGGGCCTTTACCTGAATATTCCCTACATCGCTTGCGCCCTTCGTGAGTACCAGATCCAATCTGGTATGTCTACTATCATTGCACCACCGCGTGTCTCCCCTTACGTGTTGCACGAGGGCTTCATCGTGCAGCAGGTTCAGTATCGCAGAGCCCAAGGACTCCGACGGGGCACCTTCTTCACTCCAGTTTGTCTCTGGGGTGTTGAAATCCCGAGGATCAGTAGTTTTCCACTGTGCCGAGCGGCCGTTCGTAGCGTGAGTAGCAGCGCATCATCCTCGTTGGCCATGGATGATAGGCTTCTGTAGACGCAAACTATCAGCAGTCTGGTGTGCCCGACACTCACTACACGGCCGGAAACCTGGACGTTTGGCGTTGACATCGTGAGTTCCCCTTCTGAATCTGGTTTAGGTGCTATGCCACTAGTATGAGGGTCCCCTACCTATCCTGCCGTCAGTCCTATCGGTGCGATAATCACAAATGGCTGGTGGGCAGTGGAGCCTGATGTCTATTTCCGGTCTGAGCCAGGTTTCCGTGATAGCCACAACATCACATTTCCTTGTCTCTACTCTAAGCTCGGGTCATTTGTTTCCCACGCTACACGCGTTTGTGTATGCAATGTGCAGTGGAACTCCTTCCCTATTGTTTGGCATTTCATTAACGAAGGTGGCTCCTCGGGATTCACTCCCGAGCTTTTGCCCCGTTTTATTGACCTGATTTTCCTGGATCGTAGCCTTCTCCTTCGTTTCTTCAAATGAGTCAAGTTTTCTACCCTGTGCTGGTCTGTCGGATCCCTTTTCCTTGGGTGGTCTCATCAAAACCTCCCTGTATGACGGTTTTGGTTCTTCAGCGCTTACCTTTCCCCGGGCCCTTGTTTGGAGTTACAGGGCCCCTGGGTACCTGTTCTCACCGGACAGTTTGGGCAGAACCACTCTTGCTCGATGCGCTTGTACCATCCACGCGATGGTTTCTGCTTTCAATCTCCTACCAGGCTGATCATCGTGTGTCTCTCTAATATTGCCACCTGCAGATGTCCGGATTTTTTTCGGCTTCTGCTAAAAGCCTGTCCCTATGCCTGGGGTTCCCGAATTCCACTGATATAAGCATAGGCTGGGTTGCCTGTGTCGCTTTATGGTCCCTCTACCGCCCAAGTCTGAGTACTCTCTCAAGCAGTACATGTTCTGGGATTGCTACCACTCTCATCAACATGTAATCCCGCATATACCAGTCCCTCAGTCTACCTTGCCGCATAAAAGGCTCTGGTACATCGTGGTTGAGTAAGTTGCGATGTCTACCTATGGCTACATTGAAGTTCTTCCGTATCCTCTCGACCACCTCAGCAAGCATCAATTTTATTTCCTGAGGCGATTTAGGTTCTCTTCATGCCCGTCTTTCCGTCTGGCTAGGTTCTCAAGGATGGCCGTGATCACACCCTTGGTTATCATGCTAGGGGGTGCACCCCCTTTCATTTTTACCTTTCACTTTCTGCTTTTTACTTACATTTCCAGGCACTGGACTTCCCTCTATGTCGATCGGGGGTGGAACAGGAGCTATGCACTCCTTGTATTTCATACTGAATTTTTTGAAAATCCTTCCGAACCCATAATGATTTATGGTGCAATAACTCTATCTGTGTGTTGCTCTTATATTGACATTTCACGATCATGAACACCACACATCATTATTTATCTGTTAACTCTATGCCCGGCACATTTGAATTTTGCGTGGTTTGNACGCTCCTCCGTCCAAATGCTGCGAAGTAAGCTAGTAATTGAGTCCACAATCCATTTGGAGCAGAATGGAAGTCCCACTGATTCAATCAAACATCTATGTTTCTATCGGTTATTTAAACGATAGTTTTACAACGGCAGGTTTCTTTTCCAAGCCCGATGTCAGGTCTTAATGCGCTGGGCGGGTTTATTAAAATCACGGACAAGGATCAAACATGCATTACAGACAGCAGGGCAGGTTTATTTACGTACTGCGCTTGCAGAATTAA